GAAAACATAAAAAAAGCTATGGAAAGATGTACAGAGGCTCCTCAAACTGCTAAAAATGGAGCTATGATATGATCCAGCAATTCCACTCCTAGGTATCTACCCAAAGGACACCAAAACATTAATTCAAAAGGACACCTGCACCCATATGTTTATTGCAGCACTGTTTAAAATAAGTAAGCTATGGAAATAGTCCAAATGCCCCCAAATAGGCAGCTGAATTAAGAAGGTGTGGTATATATACACAATGGAGTATTATTCAGCAATCAAAATAGATAAACTCATGCCATTTGCAGCAACATGGTTGGAGCTGGAAGAGATCATGCTCAATGAAATAATCCACAAAGAAAAAGAAAAATACCAGATGGTTTCACTTATAGGAGGAATGTAGGAGATCCAAATAAGGATCAGGAAAAAATGAGAAATTATAATGAAGTAAAAATCAAAATCAACAGGCAACTATAAACCAGAGACATTCTACATGGGGGGAGGAGGGAGCTGGATCAAAACAGGGGTGGGAAGAACACAAGAAGCTATTGTGATAGCACATGGGTGAATTGGTGGTGGGAATTCCACGGGGACTAAACACGAGATGATAAAGCATACATTGTATAAAAATGAAGAATGATGTAAAAAATAGATAAAATAATAATAAAAAGGTTAAAAAAGAAGTGTATATTCAAGTCAAGATTATATTAAATGGCCAACAAAATGAAAATAGAACAAAATAATAGGAACAGAAAGTAACAAATGAGAAGAAAGCGAGACAGTGGACCTGACGAGTAAATCTGCAGTGCTGCTTTATAGAGCTTTTCCTTGCCCATCTCAAAACTAAAGTGCCCTCTCTTTTTAAAATCAATCATCAAGGCGTAAGAGCTGGAATTATATCTCATTCATTTTTGTAACATCAGAGCCCAGGAAGGACAATGGATGTTAATCAATTGTGTAAAAGAATCCTGAATTTCTAGGTTGTACAGAAAGCCCTTCTCTGGTTTCTCAGATGAACCTTTGCCTCCCAGATGAGGATTGGGGTCACTGGGAAGCCACAGGACAGAGTCGGTGAACCCCAAGGCCTACTGACAAATCATTTATAGGAAGAGCACCCGGTGCAGATCTATTGATTTGATTCCACTTAAATGCATGTGTTACTTCCATCCTATGATCTCCATTTCTACCTGTGCCTATGCTCCATGTGTTTGCTCAGCCTCCCTCTCAGGTAGATGTTTTTAACATACCCGGAGGTTAAGAATTTGGGTGGAAAAAAAACACATTGTTATTTCCACTGATCTGTTACTGAATTTAAGCACTTCCCACCACTATGACTCCAGGATTAGCTGTCTCTGAAACTGTCACCGAGAAAAATCATAGACATTTTACATCGCATTGCAGTTTGGAAAGAAATGTCAAAGCATTGGGCCTCCCTGGTGGTGCAGGCGGTTGAGCACAGCGCTGTGGAGCTGTCCGCAGCCTCTGCAAGTGCCAGTTCGAACCCCACCGGCCTCGGAGCAACCCACATGGTGAGCAGACCTCTCAGGTCTTGCCGGCTGCTCCTCCCCTCAGCAGTGTATTTCGTCAGTCTGCCTGTTCTGTTCCCCACTCTATCTGTGGTGAATCCTCTCACCCTCCCGCACATCTGGCCTGTACCCTGGTTCTTGTATAAATAAAATAAATCTTTATAAAAAATCATTTGCTTTTATCACTACCTCAAAGTTATAGTAGTTATCAGCACTTGTACTAAATCTTGTTATTTAAGGCATTAAATGAGGATTTAATATAAAGAAATTTAATATATATATTTGCACAATTATACTGCAAACTTTCAAAATAATTGAGTCCTTTGTCCTTCCTGTGTATTTTACTTAATTCATTTGAAAACTGTATTTTGAGAAGGGGTTATACACTTCACAAATGCCAAAAACACCCATGACACTCAAAGGTTAAGGACTTCTGCATTAAGTTCAGCTGTTCGGAACAAACTAGAAAAAAGTAAAGTAATGGACTTGATAAGTAAATCTACAATGCTTCTTTTATATAAAACTTGTTATAAAAGGGAAAAGTAGAGAAAGGAGTTGCAGTGTTCTTAATTTTTGAGAACATCTGGTTAATTTAGGAAATTATTTATCACTTAATGATTGGATATGAGGAGAGGGGCATTTATTTGGATTACTTGTGTTGACCACAAACAAAAACCAATCCATTGTTTCACCAACAAAATGGGTTTATTTGGAAACAGCAGCAAAAAAGCAATTTGGAAAGTCTCATGGTGAGACATTTGTGTGCCTCCCTAAGACTCAAGGTGGCACCCCTACATATTCTTTGAAGGGGATCCTGCTGAGTAAAGAGGATTGCCTTCTTTCTTGGGGAGTGAAGGGGTGGGTGTGGAGAAGTAGCATCATTTCCTGTCAAAAATGCAAAACATGTTGGGTCTTTTAATTTGCTGATGGTGCATGCTGGGGACCTCTCTTATATATAGCCCGCTTCTCTCACTTAATTAGGGCTTGTGTATGTCCATTTTCACACCTGAAAGCAAAAGGAAGGTTTAGAAAAATCATTAAAAGGCTACATCACAGAGGATCAAAAACCTGAGTTTTGGCGTCTAACTGCTTGGGTTCAAATCTCAGTGTACCATTCACTGCTTGTGTGATCCTGAACAACCTCTCTGAGTTGAAACTCAATTTTCTCATCTGAGCGTGATACTCACCCCTGAATTGGAGGGCTGTTGTGAGGACTAAGCAAGACAATCCCTGTAATGTTCTCAGCTTAGCTCCTGACACATGGAGATGCTCCTCAATGTAACAAAGTCAGCCAAATTTGTTTTCAACAACTTCCTCTTCCTCTACATCCTTTCCCTTATTTTTCCCCTAATTATGAGATGCCTCCCTTTATCATACAGACCTGTCTCATAAAGGTAGTTTCTGTTTTTCCTCTCTTTGCTCTCTTCCTATTAAAACCCACTCTCAGATAAGACTGCTATTATTTAGTCTCTGCGTGTTTTTCAGATTTTTAAAAAGATTTATTTATTTATGCATACAAAACTGGGGTACAGGCCAAAGGTGTGGACAGGGGTGAGAGGACTCACCAGAGACAGAGTGGGGAACAGAACAGGCAGACTGACCAAAATACACTGCTGAGGGGAGCTGCTCCCCTGAGCAGCAGAGGAGTCAGGAAAGGTCTGCTGCATCATGTGGGTAGCTCCCTGGCCAGCCGTGGATTGAACTCATGCTGCAGAGACTGTGGATAGCTTCAGTGTGCTGTGCTAAACCCTTTGCACCACCGGGGAGGCCCTGTTTTTCAAATTTTTTGCTACCTTTCCAGGGATGTCGATCCCATTAATATATGATGTCAACTCCATTAATTTGTGAAAAGTGTTTTCCCCCAGGTAAAAATCAATTTTGGTTTTTAGGAGCAAATAAAAAAAAATGCTTACCTATAGCCCACTGGCCCAGGTCAAGTCCTTCCTGATCCAAAAAGCCTCCTCCTCTTTACTGACATTGGCAGGAGGGACCCCTCTGATACCACCAAACTCTGAACACGTAGGTCTACCTCTAGCCTGGACAGGCCACCCACTATGGCTTTGTTATCTCTCTCCTCTCCTTTCCTAGTGTGGGGCAGCAGTTCCAGTGAACAAGGGGCTTGGTATCTTTCCATTTATATTCCTAGCAACTCGAGGTAAGGCAATCATGTAAGGCAAAGGAAGAGCAGTGGTAAACTTTTTTTTAGCACTTCTTCCCTAAAATCTCCTGACTTCCAAGCCTGTTCTGTAAGTTCCCAGGGGGCTAGAATGAGCTAAACTTGGCTTTCAAAGGAACCAGGAATGCCTCTGCTAAACTCCTTAAGAGTCTCCAGAGAAGGCCAGAACAGGGGGTGAACAGCCACCTCAAAGATCCTTGGAAAAGATCTTCCCCTTTCCAAGAATTTGATGCTCCCTGCACCCATGAGTGATTTCCTGGAAGCAGCCTGCACTAAACTTTGGGCGCCTTAGGGTCTGACCCTGGCTCTCACACAGACCAGCTGTGTGACCTTGAATGTACCTCTTCCTCAATCTAGGATTCAGTTTCAACAACTGTAAAACAAATAATTTGAATTGGATATTCTCACAGTTGAGGAAGGAAAACTGGATTCATTCTTTGTGGATATATCCCAAAATTTATCCTATTTCTCAAGAAACAGTACTTATTTATTTATAATTTCTGGCCATCTCACAAATTCTTTAGCATTCTTTTCCACAACAAGCATGGAAGTTGTTTCACGCTTGAGGGCTTGCCATAGTGACTGCCACATTGCCAAGTTGTAGCGTCCTTGATTTAAAAACATTTTTTAAAGGTGTACTCATTAAGCAAAATCTCCCAAATCTTCCTCATAAATCTGCCCTTCCCTTTCACTTATTGAAATGGTTGATTTTACAAAATCATGTCTTTATCCTTCTGTGTATGACAATATGTACACCTCTTTGCATGTTGAAAGTATTTCGAGAACAGAAAAGAAACACATACCCTCAAGTGTCACTTTGTTGGGCTTAACACCCATTTTTGGAGAAACCATCAGGGACACAGGCTACAGTTCACAGTGCATCAGTCACTAATCTGAACATGGAGTGGCATCGCCAGTCTAGCTCTCCGTTCACTTTGAGCTTTTTCATAGGTTTATCCTTGGCTGTGTCTCAGGCACAAACAGGTCCTCTGATTTCAAGTGTTGGCATCCAGATGAAGTATTAATGGCTTTACCACAGCAGACTTATAAGAAGAAGATGTAAATCAGTGAAACATCTCTTTAGGATGAAGAAGAAATGTTTGTAAGCAATTAGAATGTGAGTTAACACTGTTCTCACAATTCATATGGTCATGGAACCAGCATCTACCCAGTGCTCACTAAAGAGCTGTCACTATAACTAGGAAAAGAACCAGGGTAGAGGGATGGGCCGTGGGAGGGGGGAGTGAGGTGCAAAAATGATAGGAAACTATGGTTGGTTATTAATAATACACATTTTTCAGATTTCACTTGGTAACACAATACTTTCATTTATTGTAAAATCACAAGCAAACACAATGCTAGAAAGTTTACAGATAGTTAAAACAGTAAAAACTGATAAATTTTACGCTGAAATGCAGAGATTTTTGTCACATAGGAAAAGCTCCTATTTAATACAGTCAGCTCTTATTTAGCATTCCCAAAGGAAAAGATGAACTTAATGATAATAAGCTATGTTATTTCATTATTTTTAGTCGAAAAGCTAAGTTTTCTCTTGACTTAAGAATGTAATATATGATTTTATAAAAGAAAAAATAATTTCTTTTTAAGTCATGTTGGGTTTAGGCTCATATTTTATTTAGTTTTTCCACTAATTTAATCAAAGTATTTGGATAAAACTATAGGATAAGTCTCTGCTAGATAAATGGGAAGACAAAAGTAGGTTTTTGAAAGGTGTATTCCAGGGAATAAACTATAAAAAAATAAGATTGCTACTAAAAATAAAGAGTTGACTATATTTGGAGGGGGTAGTGCTATTCAGGAATCAGTTTTCTAAATGTGCCATGATAGAATTAATCAAAAAGAAAAGGACAAGTTTGCTCTATAGTTATGCACATTTATGAAAATAAAGGAACAAGAAACAAATATCGCATTGCCCAGATTCATGCTGGCTGGGGAAACAAGATCAATATTTCCATGATCACAAAGGTACTCTAAATGCTTTCTAAAATCCTGAGCTCATTTTCTGACCACAGACCAATTCACCAGTTTCTTTTATACACTGACACCAAATATGACTGCTTAATTATATCAACATGTTAGTAAGATCATAATGATGCATATAGCACTAGTAAGAGGGGTAAAAGAATTATTCACACAAATAATAACTAAAGGGGGAAATGGTGAGGTTTCTAGATACATAAAACAGAATCCTTGTCCAGTCATACTACACACAGTTAACACTTCATGCTTTTGATTATTTGTGTGTTTGAAAGAGTTTTCCCATAGATTATATCATTAGTTCTTCATGACCACCTCATTCGTAGCTATCAGATATTATTTTTGGCCCCCCTGATGGGCTTTGTCTGGGGTCACACAGGTGACAGATCTTCTGGCTCCAAAATTCCAAATGCACAATTCAAAACACCAAACAAGGGAGGTGAATTAGAAAGTGGGATGAGCCTTCAATAAGCCTGTGATGTGAGTAAATCTCATTGTTGATCCCCAGCCTGCCATTTGTATATCCCTTTCTTTCCTGGGGGGGCCCAGGATTCTATAATTGACCTTCATCATTGCCACTAAATCACATGACCTCATTCACATTGAAGAGTAGAAATGCGGTGGGTTATCCTTCCCAAAAGTAGTTCCATTTTAAGAGAAGCAAGTATTAATCCCAAGGAATAATTACTATAATGGGATTCAGACAACAGCAGCAAAGACATCTTGCTCTCAAATCACATGGAGAGAATTTGGACAGAGCTTAACCATGCATTCTGGCGCGTCCATGTGCATGCATGTAAGGCAGTGAGAGCCAGGACTAGGGAGAAGAAGAGAAGGGTTGCAAAGAGAGTGAACCCAGAGCCTATTTTGTATTCTTGGCCCATCCCTGCAAATTTTAGGGGTAAAATTAAGCCTAAGAACAATCCTAGAGTTGGGCTACATTGATGTCTGATGAGTAGTTGCAAAGTTCCAGAGAGACCCTCACCCTTCAAACACATGTACAGCAGTCTTAGATGCCTACTTGGGTTCCCTTCTGGAAACTCCCTTATTTCAGACTGTTTATGACCCAACTTTTTTCATACTTTAACCCCTATTTCTTTTTGCCAACTTTATGGTGTAAACATACACATTTTTCACCAGTGCCTACTCTTTGCACAAATTAGAAGTTCAGTGACTGTCAGCCACTGGTGATGGTGTCTAATTTTAGAAATTCTGGGCCCCTTCAACTATGGATTCCCATAGCTGTCCATTTACTCTGCCCTCTACAGCACACAAAGAGCTCTTGGTTGAGAGTGTGTATCTAAGCAAACTGGTCCCGGTCCCCAAGGTCCTGTCTGAGTATGCATTTGACAACCACCATTGGTTATTTCAGTCGGATGCAGTCCACCTCTTCTGTGGCGGGCATGCCTGTGGTTTTGAGATCAAGATCAGCGCTAGACTTACTCCCGTTGTAAGAGGTCTTCCAGTGCAGCAGCATGATCTTCTTAAAGTACTTGATGGTGTTATTCTTGACGGTCACGAAGCACAGGGTATTAATCATGCTGTTGCTCATGGCGATGCATTCAACGATGTAGAAGGCAGTAAGGTAGTGCTTCTCCTTCACGAACACGGTGGGGAAGAAGTCGCGCACGATGGTGAAGCCGTAGAAAGGCGCCCAGCACAGCACGTAGGCGGTGAGGATGCACATAAGCACCAGGACAGTCTTCCGGCGGCAGCGCAGCCGCTTTCGAATCTGCTCGGTCTGAAAACCAGGGACCGCCTTGAACCAGAGCTCCCGGGAGATCCTGGCATAGCACAGGGTCATGGTGACCACGGGACCCACGAACTCGATGCCGAAGATGAAGAGGAAGTAGGACTTGTAGTAGATCTGCTGGTCCACCGGCCAGATCTGGCCACAGAAGATCTTCTCCTGGCTCTTGACAATGATGAGGACCGTTTCTGTTGTGAAATAGGCTGAAGGGATGGCGATGAGAATGGACACTAGCCAAACCAAGGCAATCAAGCCAGTGGCTGTTTGATACTTCATCCGGGGTCTAAGCGGGTGGACAATAGCCAGATATCTAGGATAAGAACACAAATGGGGTTAATTACTATGATAAGGAAGTTGCTGCTAGATGATACTACTTTTTGCAACATTATGAGATGCAACCAAATTACATGTGGGAGGAGAGTGCAATGGTATGTTGCGGGTTTCTGAGACAAGCAGACTTAAATGCAAACCCCATCTCCACTTTTTATTAGCTATGCAATCTCAAAGTAGTTTTGTTTCATCTTTCAATTTTATTTGCTGCAAAAAGTTTCATTTATTTTTAAGGATAAAATGTGCAAATGTAAACAAATCCTAGCACAGTTTTAAACATGCTATATGCTTCATAAGTGGTAGCTATTATAATTGAACATAGTGATAATATCTCCCATCAGTTTCTAGCCTGGCACTATCCCTATATCCTCCCTGTCTTCGGGGTCATTCTTTTTATTACCCTGAAGTTTAAAGCCAAAATGGCCTCATCATTCAGAGTTGCTGGGAAAAACCTGCCTTTTCTGATGGAAGCAGTGGGCAAAGTTATGCCTTTGTTCTTCATTGATAAAACACTGCTCAGTGTGCAAAGGTGGAGGGAAGGCATGTAATCACTTATTTCCTTAGTAGGAAAATGGAGGCTGATGAGACATGAGTGACTTTTTGAGGTCAGAAACCACAGAGCATTTGATAGAAAACATCTAACACTATCTCACACGATTGATGTGAAAGTCAATTGAGAATATCCATGGACATAAGTTTTAACCACAGAGCACCAGAGAATAAAAGATGTGGCTTTTGCCACACTGAGATACCACCTTATACCAGTGAGAATGGCACATATCAAAAAAACAAGCAACAACAAATGTTGGCGAGGATGTGGTGAAAAGGGAACTCTCCTGCACTGCTGGTGGGAGTGCAAACTGGTCCAGCCACTATGGAGAGCTGTCTGGAGGTTCCTCAGTCTACTAAAAATGGAGCTACCATATGACCCAGCAATTCTACTCCTAGGGATCTATCCAAAGGACAAAAAACATTGATACAAAGGAACACCTCTACCCCTATGTTTATTGCAGCACTATTTACAATAGGTAAAACCTGGAAATAACTCAAATGCCCAAAAATAGATGACTGGATCAAGAAGATGTGGTGCATATACACCATGGAATATTATTCAGCAATCAAAAAAGATAAAATCATGTCATTCACAGCAACTGGATGGAGCTAGAAGGAATTATGCTCAGTGAAATAAGCCAGAAGGAAAAAGAAAAATACCAGATGGTTTCACTTGTAACAGGAATATAGAGGAACAAAATAAGACATCAATGTAAAAAAAATAATAACAGTACAAAACACAACAAAGCAAAAACATACAATTACAAATCAGAGACATACTGCAGGGGAGGAGGAGGGAGAGGGCTCAGAGGGAGGGAGAACAGGAGACTGTGGTGATGGTACAGGGTGCCTTGGGGAAGGAAATTCTACAGGGATTCAACCTGAGGGATGGGGGGAAGAAAATGTTGTTTAAAAAAAATAAAAATTTAAAAACAAAAAGATGTGGCTTTTTTTTATTTCAAAAAAAAAAAAAACACACACACACACACACAAAAAAAAAAACCAAAAACAACACTGCCGTTACCACAGTGGTCCAGGAACAAGAGAAAGCACTTTCCTAGGGGACATGAGTCATTTGTGTGGTATGAAAGCCTCCTTCCCAGAGAAAGTGTTCAGACTTGTGTGGAGAGCTCTGGTTTCCTGGAAGACTTTCAGTGTCTGGCAAGAGGTAGAAGTTGAAGAAGGAAAAAGATAGAAAATGAAGTGGAAGGGAAGAATGAATCAAAACTGGGAATAAATACATTCTCATGTGTCCATAGCTTATCCCAGGTAGTCCAGAGCAAATGTGACAAAAGCCTGAAGGAAAGCTAAAGCAATTCTGTTTCCTTTGAAACCAATCTCTTCAAGGCCAGTTTTCTTGGGATTTTGATTTGAAGAGGAGGTTCATTCATGGTTGTTTTTGTTTCTGATCTTATTACAGCTGTTTCTGCCACTACCCTCCCCTCCACACACACACCCTCCCCACACAACACAGGCAGCCAACTCCATTGAGTGTCATTTGGAGAGTTCACAGGAGTGAGGCTCCTTTTCTCTACTACCTCCCAGATGTTAGATGAAGTTAGATGGGTTGGGCCCACCCTCTGGACACCCAGCTGGGTGTTTAACACACTCCACCACCATCAATTACCCCCAGCACTCTTGACCATCTCCTGAGTGCTGAAGGGTGGAATGGAAAGGCCTGCGGTGTTGGTAGTGCTTGAGTCAATGCACATGCATTGAGCTTCAGGCAGACTAGAGCGCCCCTGCTGTAACAAAGGCAGTAAACTTACTCTGACAGAGTGAAACCTCAGAGTGTAGTGACTTTGCTCTTACTAAGCTCTCTCCCTCTCTGTCTGTCCCACTGTGTTCTGCTGATTCCTATGATATTTCTATATTAATATATGTTTATTGTATGAATTTTCACTATATAATTCTATTCATTCTTTTTCCAATAGCGACTTCCTAAGTCTTTATTGTGTTTTGAACTTAGAATGTTCTTTAAGTGAACAAAAAGGAGAGAATACTAACTTAAGGAGCCATGAATTAAATCCCAGCTTCGCCACAGACTTGCTATGTGAATTTGAGGCATTTTTCTTGGCCATGTGGGCTCAATTTCTTCATATGTAATCCAGAATTATCACCTGCCTCCCAGTCTCAGAGAGATACTGCGAGGTTCCAACAAGACACTCCAAAGAGGCACATAAACAATAATAGTATACTAATGTACAAGAAATTGCTGGTATCCAAAAAGGTATTTCCAGAACTATTCTGTGTACCAGCAATTTTTTTCCCAAAGTTACTAGCAAATCCTATATCTGCAAGTTTTTTACTATTTTCTGTTTTACTGGGTCTATTTTATTGGTTATATTTATCTTCACATCAAAACTCATCATGGTAATCTGTGACTACCTGTCAGATAGATATTTCAACCTGGCTCTCTCTGAAATTACCCAGCTCTATCCCTACAGTTAGCACCAGGAACTGTGCAAAAGGCCTTCCAAATACATTTACCAAGAGGCAAATTACAGAAAACTGTTTTAACAATTGTTATCAGCCTTGGCAGTACTAGGATCAGAACTCCAGAACACTAGTAATCAGACTACTTGATCATGATTACAAAGCCGCTTACAATTTATACCATAATTTCAAATCTACTTTCTCATTAGACAACTCCAACTGTGCTGAATAGATAAAGCAAAGATGACAGTTTTACAGATGAGCAAACTAATATTGGGGAAGTTAAATAACCTGTCAAAGCCACACATCTAGAAATGAACAGAGCCACGATTCTGATACATCTCCTCCCTTTGCTCACAGGACAAGCAATATCACGTATGCTCCAGGCATCCTAGCAGTCCCTCTTTTCTTTTTGCTCCATCATTGTTTATTTCTACCTTTTATGTTCCAAGGAGTGAGGCAATTGGCAGCTCCATCTCTCTTCTTATGAGTTTGCCCTTGGCTTGCCCTGTGTGTCTACAACTGCAATGGCTCATGTCCAGATCCAATTAGAGAACAATGGATAAAAGCTACTTACAAAGAAATGCCTAGGCAGTGATTTCATGATGATAGTGGGCTGGAGGAAAGCAACAAGCATCTGGGGTCCTTCTCTGTCCCCAGGACCCCATCTCAGATCTAATCATGGAAATGACACAGTAGCCTCTTGGGTTGTCAAGGGATGGATTCAGAATGCACAGCTGGCTCTTTAGGGCTGCTGGTCAATAAGCTCACAAGGGAGCATTTGTGCTTCTTAATGCTCTACACTATTGTAACAGTGTAATCCCCTTAGAAAGGGGAGGTTACAGGTTCCCTGCCCCATCTAAGAAAAGGTGGAGCTGAACAGCAAGGCAAAGCTAGAAAAGACTAGGGAAAGGACTTAGGGAAGGAAGGAAGAAGATCTGGAGAAGTGAGTGGAGCAGAGACATGTGAAGAAGAAGCCATGCATGCTTCTTGGCCTTGTACCACAGACTTGGGGGACATGGAAAGAGATACTTGGAAGAGACAAGGGTGAGAGACCTGTGGGGAAGTTGATAATGACAACCCTTATCTTCACTTGTGTTTTGATTTTGCTCTTTTCCTTCCAGACTTCTTGGCCCCTTCTGCCCCTTTCCTGTGGTTCCCAGCAGAACCTGAGATGTGTGGCAAGCTTTTGGGCCTCAGTGGCCCCTGCTTTAGGCCAACCCTATTTGGCTGAGATTTACCCACGAGGGTATGGGTAACTTTTTTTTAAAAAGATTTATTTATACATATAAGAATTGGGGTACAAGCCAGAGATGCTGGGGGGTGAGAGGATTAACCAGAGACAGAGTGGGAAACAGAACAGGCAGATTGACTGAAATACACTGCTGAGGGGAGCAGAGGGCAAGTCAGGAGAGGTCTGCTGCGCCATGTGGGTAGCTCCCTGGCCGGGGATCGAACTTTTGCTGCAGTGGCTGTGGACGACTTCATAGGTTGCATCTTAACCCCTTGCACCACCAGGGAGGCCCTGAA